ACCATTCACTAATGAGTTGCTAAGATTTTTTTATGTGTTACCTGAGCCACCATAACTGTATGTGGGTAAGCCCTCTGTGTCTAAACCCTGAATAAATTACCTGCACTTGGAATAGTATCCTGTTAGGAATGTGGGTATAGAGATTTAAGGGGAAGGGATGGTTCATTTTAAAGCGATAGCTGTTTTTTTCACATATTGCAAAAATAGGTTTCCCTGGTCTTTTCATGTTGGCAAGAATCTGCTTTTTGTGAAATCTACAATATTAGCATTATGGCTGAAATAAACTGAGACTGTGTCAGGTGCATGCATTGTGTAGTTGAGGACTTCCTGAGACTAGGAGTACACTTGTTTAATATAGTTTCACAGTCCACATGAGTGAGTGAGTGAGCATCGTTTTAGTACTTCATGTTTAGTAACTTCAAGCAAAACAAGTCTGTTAAGTTTTGATTTGTTCGCTTGATCTAGAAGTTATGCCACATGTTCCACAAATCCTTAAGTTAAACTGTTGATAATTTAAGTTGGAAAAAAAAAATTCTTTAAATCTGGTTTCCATGTAAATGAATAAGTTAATGATTAATGATTTTTTGAAAAGGAGTTCTAAATTTCAATACTGCTGTTCTGTGGTGGTGGCTTAAATGTAATATTCTTCATGGTACTCCATGCATACATAATTACTCACAGTAACTGGACAAATTTGTGGGACTTTATCCCAATATTAATACTCATCCAGTTACTGGGTGGTTAATGCTTTGTCTTTATATCTCTCTTGTAGCAATAAAAAATTAATTATCACCTCCATCAGAGAGTGTAGATGCAAAAGTGTTATTTGAGCACTGCTGGTCCTCTCTTAGAAAATGACAAATGTACAAGCCTCTTAATTTTTCTGGTGGAAAAAACCCCACTACTGTGTATGGCAACTCTGTTTTACAAATGGCAAAGAAATCAAGAAGTCTTATGGTTTAAATTGGGGTTTTTTTGTTTGGCCTTTCTTTTCCCCTAGCTAATGGATTTGCTTCAACCAATGATGTCTCCACGTCACCAGTTCTATCAGTTACTGGAACTCTGCACTCTCTGTCTGTTCAACAAAGAAGCAATCTCAGTGGTGTTTCAACTGAAAAGCAAAGCACTCTCAATATTATAGCAAGGCCTCGACCTTCTGCTCTAAGAAGTAAAATTGATTCATGGCAGATTATTCCACGTGTTATTAAACCGAACTCTAAAGACCCTGGATATTTAGAGGGCAATGTAGATCCAGATGTTAACTTCTTGCCAGATACGGAGGAAAGAACTAACTGCCACATGCCCTCGTTACTTGATATTGATGTGGAAGGTCAAAACAGAGACTGTACTGTGCCTTTATGTAGAATGAAGAGCAAAACTTGTCGGCCATCTATATATGAACTGGAGAAAGAGTTTTTGTCGTGAGTGCCTTTCATTTTAAAAATGTTTGCTTTTTAAAGGGGAACAAATACAAAATTCTTGTCCATCTAATGCTTTGTGCTGCTGTTTTCTGATGTACTGTGACAAATAGTACCAAAATTATTAAAATGGGCAGCTAATTAAGAAAGTGTAGCAGGTGCCTTTTTCAAGTGTTCCTTGGAATCCCAGCTAGTAACTCTAAAAGCACAATGCTGCTATAGTATTCTGGGTGAACTTAATAAACGTATTTTGAATGATTAAAATAACATGCCCACTTCCTTCTGCAGTGTCACACAAGTTTTCTTTAGGTTTGAGAGGTTTTGCTAGAAATTTAACTTTTGCACATTGAAAAAATCAATGACATACAGTAAGGTTGTGTTCTTTCAAGAAGAGTCTCGCCAAGGAAGTGGTTGTCTGCAGCTTGCCTCTGTGGCCTGTAGAATTAGGGGGAGGGGGGCAGGGAGTGTTTAAGGTGCTGGTGCAGGAGGCTCTGTTCACTCCTCAGTAAGTAGCTGGTTACTTTTTAGCATTTGATACTGAAGTTGGTTAAGTACCAGCAGCTGAATTTGCAGTCTTTGCCCTTGGTTTTTATGAGAACTTTCAGTTGTGTGCATTAGTTTCTCCAGAAAGTTACACTGCTTGTATAAACACTTAGGTTTCAGCCACCATATCGATTTGAGAGGGTAAACTTTAGTGTTGTGATTGGATTAAAGGTATTTGACATACTTTATAATGTGAAGCAACATTCCTTGTAGGTAAGGATACACTGGAACGTAAATATTTGTACTCTTAACCTTTTGAAGACTACAGTGTTTGCACTGAAAACAATATTCTTGGTTTGGGATTTTCTGCTTGTGGTAGAGGGGTTTGCCCCCTTTGTTTTTTAAACTCTGCTGCACCTTGTGTTGAGGAAAGCTGATGGGTTTTAAGCATGATTAGTTTGGGTTTTAAGTGAGCCAATGGCACATTTTACTGCACCCAAATTTTAAAACTGCGATAACTTACTATTAAATTTTTCACTATAATCTCTGCAGCTTTTCTTCCTGAAGTTACTACTGAATGCCCAGGTATTCATATTAGGAATTAAAGGACAGAAACAGATATGCTTGACTGGTTTTCAGTGATAGAAAGGTTCCAGAAAATTCCAAGTAGCTAATTGTGGGGAGAGGAACATTTAATCTTGGTAACACAGATAGTTTAATTTTTTACAGTATCAATGATTGATTAAAACCAAATGTATAGTATACATTCCCTGATTAAAGCATTTCTAGAATTGAAGGAACATCCCTCATTTTCCAGTATTTGAAGTCCTAATTTTGCATACCATTTGACATATTTAAATTAGTCTTCATAAATAAAATCAGATAATGTTAGAATCGGAACACTGTTTTGTTGAGACCTTTGTTTTAAATGTTTTCTCCTCCTCTGCTCTGGGGTCTGGGAGTTCAGTTGTTAAATAGAATACCCAATTGCTTAAAGTTTTAAAACTAAGAGACTGAAAGTGCCTGTTCTAAGGCTGGTATGCAGTACAGTGGCTACCTTGAGGATGACAAATAATTATACATACAAAATCATGAAGTCTTAATCACACAGAGCAGAACACAGAAAATGCAACTTCCCAGCTCTCAAAATGAAAATACAAAAGGGTTTCCTTAAAGTATTGGTTTGCCAAAAGTAAAGACATAACCACTAGTTGTCTGTAAAACTAAATGCCTGCATAGCAGATTACACTGTGTTCAACCTGTTTCTATTTCAGTATTCTTAGTTCTTTGTCAACATGATTCAAGTTGCATACTGTTAGTTGTCTGTTCTCTAAACTTTAATTACATCAGAACACTTTAATAATGAAGTCTATTTCAGTTTTAATACAAATTGTTTTCATAAAATAAAGTCAATTAGGTTACACATATACATCAAATTTTACGTACAGCTTGATAGCAGATTTAGCTTCTAGGCTTAATTAGAATTTTGGAGCATTATGAATATTTCAACTCTCTCTTGATCAATTATTCCTATGTAATGCTGAGAAAAAAGAAGTTGATTGTATTACATGTTTCTGAAGAAAGTATCTCTGGCTTTCTACAGGAAAATCTCAGGTGCTGAAGTATTTTGACTTGTAAACTTCTGTTAAGTTCTTTTTAAGGTTTATATAACTTTAAATGTTTAATTTTGCACCCTATGTTTTGTAATCAATAGTATCAGCATAAAAAGCCCCTTGTGAGCTATATTGTTTTCCCTTCAGTGGCTTATCTCTATTGTAATTAAACAAAGATTTCTATTCCTGTTCAGTGGATAATTTCCCATAACAGTGGGACACATGGTATGACCAGCCCAGTGCATTGTAACTAACTTAAGATTTTGTATTCCACCTCTTATTCTGAGACAGTTTAGGTAAGCCATCTCAAATATTTCTCGTATGTGATGCAAGGTTTTTTTAAGCTATAGTGTGTAGTGTTTTATCATTGTTTTTCTAGTTTAAAATTATAGGCCAGTCTTCACTGAAATTAAAAAGATAAAAAGAAAAAAATATTGCAATCATGGTTTAACAGTCTGTATTTCACTTGGCACCAGAGAAACTTTCTATAAAGGTATGGTAATTTGGTATGCATTAGGTGATCTGTCTTGTTTAAAAGTATATTTATTTCATGTAGGTTAATAGCCTGACCAAATAATAAATTATGTTGATTGTTTTAGCACAAAACTGAAGGTGCTTACACTACAAAGATTAAGATACACACTTGACATGCTGTTTTACAAAACCTGATGATTTAAATGTTTTTATTTAAAAAAATAAATGTTTTGTAGCTACTGTATTGCAAAGTGACCTGAATTTTCTTGAGAAATATATTTTAATGCTTTCTTAACATGTACAAAGGAGTTCTCTGGTGAATAACCGGGAACTATAGACTCTGGCCAGCCTCTCCTTGGAACATTAGAATGTAATTGTTACTTTAAGATTAATTATCCAGTACAGTAATATGAATGTTCCTGTAATTTCTTGTAATTGATGTGGGCAGAAACATATGGTATAAGCTTGTTCTTTCTTCCATGTGACCATAATATGTCTTTTGATGCTTTTACTATGTTGGCTGGGTATCTTAGAGGAGATAGAGCAGTGGATATAAATAAATTCTGCATCTGATTCAGCATCAAGAATACAGGTAAGGAATAACATGTTTCTCTTGTGGGGTTTTTTGAGGGGAGGGTTTTTTGGGTTGGGGGGAGGTACTTTGGGGTTTTTCGTTTGGTAGTATTTTCCTTGTAGTATTTTCTAATGCCCATCATGCCATGGGCACATTAGCCCATCTTTCAGTAAGGAAAAGCAGAAGTATCCATTTGCACAGTGACAACAGGCAAGATTCAGCGAAGTCTCTAGCAGCGCAGTGAAATTCCAAGCTGTAAGCCTAGTCTTATAAAGACATGCCTGCATAGAGCTTTCTGTGTGGCTGGCTAGATAACAAATATTTACATGGCCTGTGTGCATCAGTATCGAGCCCGGATTATAAGCTAAGCTGCACAGGCAGTTTATTTTATACACAATGCTATAATGGTAATATTAAGATCTGCATACAAGTGTGTGGTAATGGACAAGATCCCATTCTCATTAGCCACCTCCCATTTTTGATACAACTAGTCGGATCACTACAGTGCATGCATTATGAGGAGCTATTAAGATTGTTACCTAGTACATTTTTTGATGTAAGTAGAGGGTGCTTAAGATTGCAGTATTAGGTATTCTAAATTAAGGTTGGAGTCCTTGCAAGTGTGTAGTGGATTTCTCCCTGGACCTAAGTGAAAATGAGCAAACCAAATATGAGTTAGTCATCTCAGTACTGTTAGGAATCCAGTATCCTTGATGACCTAGCTAGTTTGAGAAAATAGCTTTTTTAACCAAAAGAAATGCTTTTTGTTTTAATAGGCTGGAGAACAGATCCACAGACCTAAACAAGTAGGATAGATTTACTTTTCTCTTTCACAGAATCACAGGATCATTTTGGTTGGAAGAGACCTCTGGAGATGAAACAGTCCAACTGCCTCTGCTAGAGCAGGTTGCCCAAGACCATGTCCAGTTGAGTTTTGAGTATCTCCACACATGGAGACTCCACAGCTTCTCCGGGTAATCTGTTTCAGTGTTTGACCGCCCTCACAATAGAAACATTTTCTCGTGTTTGGATCAAATTTCCTGGTTTTTTTAGTTTATGCCCATTGCTTCTTGTCCTGTCACTGGACACTCCCTCTTCATTCCTCCTTATCAGATAGTTATAAACAATTGTAAGATCCTCCTGGAGCCTTCTCTTCTCCAGGCTGAACAGCCCCAGCTCTCTCAGCCTTTCCACATATGAAAGATGCTTCAGTTCTTGAATTTTCTTTGTGGCCCTGCACTGGATTTGTTCTAGTAGTCCGTATCTTTCCTGTACTGGGGAGACCAGAACTGTACCCGTCACTCCAGGTATGGCCACGCTGGTGCTGAGTGGCAGAGATAGATAACCTGCTGGCAACACTCCTAATGCAGAATACCACTGGCCACCTTTGCTGTAAGCACGTATTTCTGGCTTATGTTCAGCTTGTTCGCCAAGATCCTCAGGGCCTTTTCTGCAAAGCTGCTTCCCAGATGTTTGGCTCCCAGTGTGTACTGGTGCACGGGATTGTTCCTTCCCAAATGTGTTTCCATTTTGTGAGATTCTTCTAAGCCAAATTTTCCAGCCTGTCCAGGTCTCTCTGAATGGCAGCACAACTATCTGGTGCATCAGCCACTCCTCACAGTTCGATATCATCTGCAAACTTGCTGAGGATACACCCTGTGCCAGCATCCAGGTTGTTAATGGAGATATTAAACAGTATCGGCCCTAGTATCAACCCCTGGGGTACTCCGCTGGTGACCTGATGACATTTAAGCAAGTTGTAGTTAATACCATCTCATGTTTTATTCATGTCATGTAAAATATTTTTCCAGGGTGATTTAGGCAATTGCTATTCTTCAATTACTTTCAAAGGCTTATTTTTCC